AGCCCCTGTCTCTGTCTGCCCCCCTCCTTCCCCCTGTGTTTTGCCACACTTTAAGCACAGACCTGTATTTTTTCCACTAACTTGTCGGCTTGTGATGAGTCACTTTCTGAGAAATGGCTCAGCGGAGCGTCGGGTGGTAGGATGGTACACTTCACTCATTAGGAGAGCATTACCTGATACAAAATATATTTTAATAAATGAGTTTATACTTCAATGAAAAAACCTAAATTCGTGACACAGAATCATCAGCCTTGTTTTTATACTGTGTATATGGGGAGGGTATTACTCTGTGTGTACTTTTACTCTTACTACTAGCAGCTCTAAAGCTTCTTGTGTTTTTTGAGCTTCCTGTTTTATTCCGAAGTGTCTTCCTGTGTGGATCACTAGTCATGAGTTCCACCTGTGGACTTCCTGTCAGATCCCCTGATTTTGAAATCCACAGGTTGTCCTTTCACATTATTTATTTATATTTTTGAAATGATTATTCATACAGTAGCGTCAGTTACCTGAACTCCTCAAAGTATTACCTCACAGTCGGAGCGCTCCGACCGGAGACGCTGTTGTTCGCAGGTCAAAGAAGCTGCAGAAGGATTTCATCTACGGTTCTAGGCGTCGAAGAGACCAGCAGTCATGAAGTGCTCTTCACTTCCTGCTCCTCCTTCAGGTGAGAGATTCCCTGAAACATTTCTATACTGCATCACAACAGCAGAACAGTCGGTACTGCTGCAGATATTCAAGCTAATTTGAAGTTAGGAAATAATGTTGCCATGAATACAATTTTTGTTTCAAGGTGCTTTTCTTACTTAACATTACCTTTGTTTGTTTTGTTTTCAACACTGACTGGTTTTTATATTTATTGTTTTTTGCTTAATTAATGAAATTTAAGAATATTTATTATTTAACTATTATTATTACCATTATTTAATGGTTTTAATCAGAGCTGATTTTCCAGGGAAACTGCTTTGGTTAAACAGCACTATTAGAATAAGGCCTAATTACAAAGATGTCTCATATAATTATGGAGAATTCTGTTCCTTTGAAATAATAACTCTGACTATATTACACAAACTGGAGAACACAGTGTAGAAGTGGAGAACAAGG